GTCCCGGGTTCGATTCCAGTCAAGGGCATGTACCTTGGTTGCAGGCACATCCCCAGTGGGGGGTGTGCAAGAGGCAGCTGGTCGATGTTTCTCTCTCATCGACGTTTCTAGCTTTCTATCTCTCTCCCTTACTCTGTAAAAAAATCAATAAAATATATTTTTTTTTAAATAGAAGCTAAAGATGGTGACAAATAGTTAGATTCTAGCGATACTTTGAAAACAGCTGGCAGTCATCACTGGCTTTGGCGATAACTGGATTCTATGTGTAAGAGAGATACCAAGGAGAATTTCAGTGCATAATCATATATTTGTGTTTAGTTCAATTCAATTTCATAAGTGTTTGTTTTCTATATATTATCTACTATATATGACACACTGTGCAAGTAAAATGCATTTCCTTCTGCCAAAGGAAACTGACATATAAATCACTAAATTTGTATACATTGTATTAAGCCTAATAATCAAAGTATGCTCAGATTCTGAAAGTGGGGAGATATTAACGCATCACAGAGAGAAAGATGGTGATGGAAATCCTTCTAGAGGAAATGATGACTAATTTAAATGTTCACAGACACATGTGGGTTTCCTGGTTATAAGGAAGGGGCAGAGAGGAATGATATTCCTGGGAGAGGCGTGTACAAAGGCTCAGAGGAATGAAACAACATGGGAAGTCTAGGGAACTAGAAGTAGATTGGATTGGCTGGTGTGTGAAGTTCAAGGGGAAGAGAGGCTTGGGACCACATGATAACTGGCTTTGTATGCCCTGCCTCGGCCCTAGGCTCTATTCCAACAGAGAGTGAAAGGTTTTAACAAGGAAAAGTTGTAATCAGACTTATCACTGGTGGCAACACAGAGATAGATTGGAAAGAAGAGAAGGCAAGAAGCTAGGAATCCATTCAAAAGTCCTTGCGACCATTTCGAGAGCCAGCATTAAGGCGATGGCAGAGGGAGTAGACAAGAAAGACCAGTTTAAGAGATAGAAACAGCAAAGCCCAGTGACCAATTGGTTACAGCATATGAGAGGGAAGGCAGAGTCTGGGAGGCTGGGGAATGTGTCCCCATCATTATGACTAGAGAATAGTGGAAAACAGAGGTCATGCAAGTGGAAGAAAGTGATGAGATCACTTTGACATATTGGGGTGAAGGGCTGGAAGATATGATGGAAATCTTCAGAGACAAAGTGGATATATGGATCTTGGAATTAGCAGATTTGGTGGAGGCATTAGCCTATTATCTATAAATTTGGTCAACAATATACAGAGGGCATTCAAAATGCAGGAACTCATTCGACTGTTGAGGGAAAAGATTTAAAGAGAAAGATAGCCAAGGACAGAATCCCCAGGAACATTGAGCTCTATGGGGAGGATCCAGGAAAGCAGCCAATAACCGACCCTATGCGTATGCAGTCAGAGAGGGCAGACAAGGATCAGAAGGAAGAGTTGCCTCCACAGTCAGGGAGGATGGAGGGATCAAAGGTAGCAAAAGCTATGATGATCAAGTGAGATGGTGACTTAAGACACTTTGGAGAGCTGGGTTATTTGGAGGTCATAGTCTCCAGAGAGAGGGCAGTTTTTATGATATAGAAGTAGGGTGGGAGAGGCAGAAATCAGATTATGGTGGTTTGATAAGTGAATAGGAAGTGAGGAAGTAAAGACAGGCATAGACTCCTCTTTCAACAAGCTTGACTATGAACACCCAAATCTCTCTTCTCCTTGTGAGGCATGGTCCCGTCCAACTATCCTGTGTCCTGGAATAGAAAGAGACAGATATTGAAGCAGGTGAGTGTTTAGAGCTAAGAGAAAAATGGGAAAGTGACCCCAGGAAGCCAGATAAGGGAGGCCTGGCTGTTTGATGAGGTCTTGGGACTGATGGAATGGAAGTGGGCAGTGTAAGAACTAAGAGATGAGCAGGTGATTGTTTCACATGTATGTAGAGACTTCAGACAGAGAGGTGACCTCTGTGACCAAATCTGGCACCTGGGAATGGAAATGTCCACGGATGGAGTAGAAGATGCAGGCACTGGAAATTGAGGCAGTTCAGGTTCTGAGAAGCTACAGTGTGGGCAGATTCTTCATCGTGGGCACTGAAGTCATCCAGTTGGTGAATAACACTGGATTCAAGGAAAAGAATGTGCCTGAGTCCTCGGTGAACATAGAGTAGTGTTCACCAGACATCAGTCATCAATAAGAAAAGTGGACGGACAAGTGGGGAGTGAGGTTGGCACAAAAGTAATGGACATTGGGAAGAATATCTTCAATTTTGCCCACACCTGCCATACCTTTGGGAGGGCTGCAAAGGTTATGGTATCCTAGAGGTAGGGACAGGAATCGGAAAGTGCCATTTCAGTGAAGCACATAAGGAGAAAAGATAGTTTTTAGCATATTTCTGTGAAAATTACAAGTTTACAGACACTAATGATCCATTTTATTTTCTGCTAAGACTATTGAATTAAAGGTTTCCAGGGAATCACAGAAGACAGTGTGCTGACTGAGTAGTATTTAATATGATCAGGTCTTAAATAAGAAGCTATGAACATAAACATTTAAAACCAAATATATAATAAATAATCATTAAATTATATAGTACATAGTTCATATTAAAACTAAATTCTCAGATGCAAATATCAATACAACAGAGCAATATATAGATAATAATGCTACAGTTCTCCGCAAGGGTCCAAAAAAAAGACACTTTCAGCTAACAGAGTGGAAGTCATGACTCATTTCCCTGAACTCCCAGGACCTCCAGCAATGCTTTCCTTTCTTCCTCTTTTAATTTTTTAAAAACACTTTTCTTGTTTCCCCAGTGACTGTTGCTACAAATCCTATTGAAATAACGTTGATCAACTGAACATCAGATTCAGTAGAATGTTTGACTCAAAAATATGGTCAAATACTGTATTCCTCTAAGAGTATTCAGATTTTAAAACTCTAAAGATAGAGTCAGAATAGACCTTAGACATTAAGTCCAACAGCCTTATTCTACAGATAGGAATAGAAATCCAAAACATTTAAGCAAGTGACATAGCCTGCAGGAGCTCAGGCCTCCTGTGTCACCACTGTAGGTGGACAGTAATGCTATGGGTCGGCCGCAGTGGCTGTAGTGGGCTGGCTAAGTCTGGAACACAAGCAGGCAGGGCTCACTTCTTCGTCCTCTTTATTCCGAGGCATTGCTGTCACTTGGGATGTTGTGAGGATCCTGCCCGAGTCTCTGAACTCGGGTTCAGCCCACTAAATTATTTTTACTTTAAAGATAAAAACCTCTGGTCAAAGGGACTAGAACAGAGACTTATTAACAGTAAACACACCAAAATAAATACATTATTTTAAATATAAAATCACAGTGTCAAAGAAGTAAAAAAAAAACAACAAAAAACTAGAAAGCCAGAAACAAGAAAGAAGATTCCCTCTTCCCAGGTCAATTTTGAGCCCGCTTTCCAGTTTCACCCCACCTAGCACCCGGCCTGGCACTGCTTCACACCAAGGCAGGCGTTAGATGTACAGCCTTGTCCTTCTGCACATATCCACAGGATTCCTTTGCAATAACATCTTCAAGTTTTAAAACAGAGTACTCGTTTCCGATGGTCAAACATTTCATGGTGACCTGATGATATAAATGGTTCCTAACATAACTTTTAAAACTATAAAAGTACATGTTTCCAAGGCACTTTTAAGTAGATAATGTTTTTTCTTAGAGCACAAAGCATTTCCCATACACCATCTCCCTGTGTACTCACAGCCATTTTAACAACAAGGTTCTCAAATAGCTTATAACGTCCCAGTGAAGATTTATTTTTCTAGAGTTTCTAACCTCTGACCTAAATGAACTGCTGAAGCAGAAATGGCACTTGGAGCAGGTCACCTGTTTTTGCTACATGGTTGGAGGACTGCTATGTTTATGACCAGGTCTGCATTCTGTGTGGACAGGATTCCCAGGCTCTTGATTTGTAGGCTGACGTTGATTTTTCTACAAGTGACAATTTGCCTGATGGAAAGCATGCAAACACAAATTGTCTGCCATTTTTAGAAGAAGAAAAATAAAAAAGAAGGAAGGAAGAAAGGAACGGAGGGAGGGAGGGAGCGAGAAAGAGATGGGCATTTAAAGTTATTAGCTCACTGCAATCATTGTAATGATTTCAGAGGAGAGCTAGCCACAGGATTTTAAAAACTTCTATCTGGTTCCAGAAGACCATCTGAAGGATGTCCCTCTGAAGATTTTAATTTCCATTTTCATAAGCTCAGTGTTAGCTCATAAAGGGACTCAAGCTGGAAAGGTACAATTACACCCACTTAGAGAAAAAAAGATTGAGTCTATTTCATAAATATATTCACATCTAACGTATTTAAATATTTGATAAGTCCCAATGAGGAAGTAAGACTTTTATGTAGGCATCTGGTAAAGATATCTTTTTGGTACATAAATAAATTATATATTTATATGTTAGACATTCTGAGATAAAAAAACTAAACTTTTGAGCTATACATTTTTAGACACTCATTTTTCATTTCATTAAATTACTAGAGACTTCAGCTTTCCATTTTGACCCTATACTTCTTATATTTTTAGCTTGAATTATAGCGTATCACTTTTAACTTATGATTATCAGAGACCTCATTCTTGTGGTAATCAAAATCAAAGTTAATACAAGATAAATATATTCCCAAACTATATTTTCGGTTAAGAATTTTAACGTCTCCCCAACCAAGAAATGTGATAGTTGGGCAGGTAAGTAAAAATTTTAGAAGTCATCAAAATCCATAACATAGGAAATCAATAAACAGTTTTTTCAAGTTGGGCAAACACAGACCAGCTGGATTAAACTGAAGTATTGCATAGCAACATGGGGAAATAATCCAGACTTTGAACAGAGTTTCCCCTCTTCATTAATACATTGTATTCCTCTGTCAGAAATACCCAGAAGCGAGTGTCCCTGCTGTGTTAGAGTACGGCACATAGTGTCAGCTGCAGTGAGGCCCCAGGAACCTTCCACTCCACGTGCTCTAGGAGAGGTGCTGATGGATCATCTGTGGAGACAGTGCACCATGAGTAACCCCGCACAGGACGCCATCCGGGTACAATTGAGGTAGGAAATCTAACATAATTTAAGTGGTACCTTTTGGATGAGTGATTTTAGTCTTTCTAGGAATTCTTTGGGCGGTTTTTTCTCGTAAGAATCACATGAGGGGCACATCTAGAAATCAATGAAAAAGTAATATTCTTGTTTGAGACTTTTTTCCAAATTGAATAAAACATTCATTTAAAATTTTGGGTTTTTTTTTTCCGATTAGAGACATAAATCATGTTCAATGAAATATTGGGAAATGCATAAAATTGTTCAGAAAATAATAATGGGGAAAATCACTTACTGTAATCCCACCCTCAGAGTAACCACAGCCATGTTTTGATGCAGACCCTTCTGGTAATTTTTGTCCTTTGCATTTCTATACACTGATTGGTAATTTTCTTTTTATATACTTAAGACAACATGAGCATTTATTCTGTTTTAAATATTATTCATTGTTGCCCTAGCTGGTTTGGCTCACTGCATAGAGCTTTGACCTGCAGACTGAAGGTTCCCGGGTTTGATTCCGGTCAAGGACACATGCCTGGGAGTGTGTAGGAGGCAGCCAATAGGTGATTCTCTCTCATCATTGATGTTTCTATCTCTCTCTGCCTTCCTCACTGAAATCAATAAAAATATATTAAAAATATTCTTTAATGTTCAAATATGGTACACAATGGTAGCTTTGTATTCCAAATAGGATTGAACTATTACTATTTTGAAACACATAGATTGCTTCTAACATATTCTATTTTATACATTGCTTCAAAGAACATCTCTGAATAGTTTTCATATATATCTTTATATACTTTATTTGATAAATTTCTAGAAGTAGAGTTACTAAATTAAAGGGATGAAAATTTTTAAGGCTTTTGCCCTAACTGGTTTGACTCAGTGGATAGAGCATCAGCCTGTGGACTGAAAGGTCCCAGATTGGATTCCGGTCAAGGGCATGTACCTTGGTTGCGGGTACATCCCCAGTAGGAGGTGTGCAGGAGGTGGTTGGTTGATGGTTCTTTCTCATCGATATTTCTGAGTCTCTGTCCCTCTCTCTTCCTCTCTGTAAGAATCAATAAAATATATTTTTACAAAAAAAGAGAAAAAAATAAGCTTTTAATGTACATAGAGCATTTTTACCATTATTGAGTTAAAAGTTTTTATTGGAAGGAAAAATAGGATTTCTACTTACCTGATTATAGTGAGAGTGAAGAATTTTTCATATGGGTATTGTTCAATTATATTTCTTTTTGGAAAATATTTCTTGGTTTACCTTATTTGGGTAAAGTACATTGATAGCCCACACACCATGCCAGTGCCTGGTATTTAGCATCTGTAATGCCATCCTGGTACTGTAGTGAGACCACTGGACTGACAGGAGGAAATATAAGTTCTGGTTCTCATTCTGGCTCTTGCTGTTTGTAGGAGAAACACCACTTAGCCTCTTTGTTGTCCCTTTCCCATTTATTAAATGGATACTTCTAAGCTCAGTGCCAGCACTACCATTTCATGCGTCTTTGATACCGGATTTCAAGGACATGCTCAGCTCCTTTCTTTCTGAGGATACTTTGAGAGGAATACTTTTCACATTGTGATCTAGCAAGCAACGGCAGTAAGTAAAAATCATTTCGACAATGTAACTAAGATTTCTTTTGAATCACATATGAAATTCCTTGAAGGAGAGAGAACTTGTAAAAAAAAAAAATGGGGGAGTAATTTATCTTTGGTGTTTACCTACTGAATTTGGTTAATGCTTACATCACTCAGGAGAGGATCAGCATTGCTCATGAGTTGGCAAAAGAAGGGCCATACACAAGGGTCTCAGGGCCCCTCAAACTGGGGACTACTGGAACTCTCCAGCTGCATAAAGGGGCCCACTGTTGAAATGAGTATGGACTCTGTGACTGCACAAGGCAGTCATATTCTTTAAGAGAGGAAGGTCAACTTTGAGATTTATCCTGATCTCTGTCAGGCTGTCGTTTTCCTTATAGGAAAGCTAGGCTGTAGCTCCTGTCAGTTAGAATGCAAGTTACATGTGGCATCTGATGAGAGGAAAGTATTTTTTTGCTCCTAAGTCACAACCAAATTCTCTGCCCAGTGACTCCCTCACCGTGGGAAGCTGTATTATGTGCTCCAGGGGCCAGGGGCTGTCAGTGAGTTCCATTTGGGTTTCTGGGCACTTTCAAGCCTCTGGATTTATGAGGGGTGACTTCATGTCTCAAAACAACACTATGTATAAAGTGCAAGTTGCAGAAAGACACTGGGGCTCTGGCTAAGGAGTGATGGAGTGTGTGTGTGTGTGTGTGTGTGTGTGTGTGTGTGTGTGTGTGTGTGTTATAAGTCATTAGGACAGATAAAATGGAAAACAAAGGTCAGTCTTACTAGTCTCTGTTTCTGTTTTCTTTCTGCATTTGTGGGAGGTAGTTTCCTCATCAGCTGTTTAGTTAAAAGGTTGATCTTGTTGTCTCCTGGGTTTGCTGACTTCAGTTGGACCTTCTGAAAACATGAAAAAGCTGATCGCTCACAGTGTCTCTGAAAGGGAAACAATTTGTGGATATGTTAATGAAAGTTATTCAGAGAGTAAGCATGTCCTTCCCAGGCCCCCTTTTTACTTGTAAGACAGTGTCCCATCCATTTCAGAGGCAAATGAGGAATGATTTCATGTCCTGCTTCCCCTGGGGCTGAGGAGTCGGAGGGAGCCCACATTCCCCAGTTTTTCCCAACACCTGAGGTCTGAGTGGTGGGCAGGAGCTGCAGTTTTGTAAGGAAATTTTCTAAGTTATGAGGCTCTAAAAGTCCCACTGACCTTTATGTGGCAGCGTGCTGTGAGTTATGCTGTGATCTGATTAAGAGTTTTTTCATCTGTATTCTGTTTGGCTCTGTGGTTTATATAGAATGTCTAATAGCAGCATCGATGTTGCCCAACACCTGGCTTAGAGTCTTGTTGCTAGTGAGTGCCCAGGAAATACTCATGGAGACAGTGAATGAAGTAAATGGGTTAAAGCCCCTCTTTTGGGGAAAGAACGTGGGCACTTACTTCTGGTGGCAGATTTAGTACCCTCGCCATAGATCACGCTTGGTGTTCCTAAATTGCTGTTCACACTCCCACGTCCGGTAGGGAAGGTTTCTGCCTGAATTGGCCAGCCAATGGGAGGGAAGAGGGTTTCTCAGGCAGTTAAGTAAGAGGATAAGTCAAACTCTCAGAGAACAAAGAAGTGGTGGACAGAATGAAGATTGAAATGTGTCTCTTGATTTAGCCCAACAACTAGTTGCCAACGAATAAGTCAGAGTCGTAGAAATCACACTGACAATGAAGCCTATTGGAAGAGCGAAGTTTATACTGACCTGTCAAAAGCATTTTAGTGCTGATCTAAGAACTTGTATCCAACTTTCTTTTCTCTTTCAGCCAGTGTGTACCTAGGACACCACCCTCCTCCCCCAAGCTGCCCCGTCTTCCCTTCACCCATGGATGTGGAAGCACTGCCGTACAACCAGAAATCCCCACCTCTGGGTCACTACCTGAGTCTCAAGGGACAGTCAGCTGAAAATAGCGCCTGGCCTGCTTTGCATTTTCCAACCCCTTGGCGCACCCGCTATGGATGTGTTGATTAATATCATGCACTTGGAGACACAACCCCACCGGCTCGCTTTGCATACAGAGCCACAGTCTGAGAACCAGCTTATCTGGTTTCCTTCTATCAGAGCCGCTTGCCTCTCAAGAGGGCAAGGTAGTGTCCTTCCCATGTTTGCCAAAATGCTTATTTAATAGAAACTATTTATAAATGTTAATTATAGCACTTTTTTTCCTTGAAAACCACACACACTCTCTCGTTTGTTGAAGTTTTTTCTTTTCTCTTCTTTTTGACCACAACCGGCTTAACTTACTGGAAAAAATAATATTCATATTTAAAGAGGTAAATTTTCCAGCTGAAACTGAAAACGCTAACTGCTTCATCTGTGCTGATCTGAGAAACCAGCATTTCTCACAGAGGCCCGTTTTGCTGAGTTAACATTTACATGTGTGTTGAAAGGAGATCAGATTCCGGAGAAGTAGCAGGGCCCCACCGAACAAGCCCCCCTGAGCCATCATTGCCAGGAGTGGTGGGACCAGCGATGGCGGCTTTGACAGCCTGGATAGCCACTTTTGCCCATGGGGCCGGGCTCCCCTTCCTGCCCTTCCTGTGTCGAACCTGTGCTTGCTGCACGTAGCAGAGCTGTCCCCTAGCGATCATGGCTAGGACCAGGAACTGCGGGATTTGACTCCAGATGCACGGCTAAGGCAGCCTTGGAGAAAAAGAGGTGGAGGAGCTGCAAAAAGGGTGTGCTCACTGCTAAGAAGGGTGTGCTTACTGCTAAGAAGGGGCGTGGACAGAGGAATCTTGTCCAGGTAGCGCCGGAGCCCTGCTGCTCACTTCAGGGGTTTCCTGGATGACCCCAAGTTCATGTGTGGCACTACCACCTGGGAGCAGGTGCTTGGGTGTCCCATGCTGTGCTCCCCTCATTCTTTAATACATGAAAACACATGGACTCAGTTGTCCTACATGTGTTTTGCAGAACAGAAGGAGCAGTAGGTCAGACACCAGAGTCACGAACCACTCCTGTCCTCAGCCCAGAGCAGTCCAGCGAATGCTGCTTTCCCCAGAAGGTGAGCAGGGTTTTATCCTTTTACAGTTGAATATTTGAAAATATTTGCCCTCTGACAGCTTATTTTTAACTTCCTTACTTTTTTTTTTTTTTTTTAAAGCCATGACCATTCATACTGGGAAGTCTTATTAATTGGACAAAATAACCTTTGTCTCACACACAAACAAGGGTTAAGTCTGGGTTTCTCAGTGGCACTATTGGCACCCAGGCTGCGTAAGTGTTTGTTGTCAGCGCTGTACGCTCTAGAGTATTTAGCAGCGTCCTGGCCTCTATCTGCTTGATACCAATAGAACCCCCTCACACACACACAACTGTGAAAGCCAAACATTTCTCCAGACATTGACAGATGTTCTGGGGGTAGGGGAGCGGTGACCACCACTTCAGAACCACCAGTAGGATTAGAAAGAAAAAGGAAGATGCCTGGCCAGACTAATTAGAGATCTTAGATAATGAGTACATAGCAATATTTATCTGCAAAATATAGATGGATTTCTTTTCATTGAACTTTTTGATCTTTGTAAGTCTCATAGAGCCTGCTTTGATGCTAGCTCTGACAAACTTGAGGTAGCACTACAATGCACTCTCTTCTTCCTTCCTGAGTCTGCTGTCAGCAGAGCTTACCGACCTGTTATACTACCATTCACTGGAATCATAGCCAGGGCTGCTTGATCAGATCACTAGATGCATACAGGGTCACCAAGACCAAACCCTCACTTTATGATGTAAGAGAAAAAGCACTTCTCTTTAACAAAGTTTATGAAGAAAGTACCCACTAAGTCAACTCAAGCCATAAAATAGGATATCTTTCTTATTTCTTATTTGGCAAGTTATAGACTATAGTTCGAAAAATTCCAGAAAGAATTCTAACCATAGCTGTTCAACAAAGGGCGTGAGATGCTGAAAAATGTTCTATGTTTTGATAATTAGGGCATTGATTAAGACATAGTCTTACTTATTGGAAAAGTCTTTCCAATAAACTGAATGTGCTACTTTCATTTTGGATGCTGCTTATTAGAAAAGGGCCTAGTGAATGAGAGTGGTTACGTTCAGAGCTAGAGAGTGAATTTTAGAGAAAAGCAATAGTTGTGACTCATTCACTTTCTAAACTTTTACACAGTCATTTACCATAATTGTTTTCTTTGCAATGTATCTTCTTAAGTCTCCCCCTCTGTAGTGTCCTAATTACTGGTAACACTTTTACAGTTATTCTAATTTATGCATTTAAAAGTCCACGGCAATGAAAACAGTTCCCCAATTGCATTTATATCCTCAGAGTATCAAACCTGAAGACTGAGTGAGGACTAGTGAGGAAGTGTTGCACTTGAACAATAGGCCTCTTCTTCCCCGGACTCAATGGATTTAAATGGCTTAAGAGAATGGGATGAATTGCTGAAAATGGTCCTTTCAAAAGACTTCACTGAAGGCCAAAGGAGAGACCCTTGAAGGCCAGGTATATGGGAAGTCTATTCTACTGCATGGCCTGCCTTTCCACACTCCAAGCTGTTCTGTAATCTGTTCTTCTTTCTTTTTCTTTTGTTCTTCCTTTCTCCCTTCCTTCTTCCTTCCTCCCTTCCTTCCTTCCTTCCTTCCTTCCTCTTTTTCTTTCTTTTCCCCTTTCTCTCTTTCTTCTTTCTTTCTTTCTTTCTTTCTTTCTTTCTTTCTTTCTTTCTTTCTTTCTTTCTTTTGTGTTATTAAGAGGTAAATTCTGCTTCTTATGGTGTGTATCTGTATTTCTTAGACAGCTTTACAAAAAGACTCAAGAACTTTCATGCACAAGGGCTCTTACAATGCAATTCGTGAATCATTGTTTAGAAACTGATCATAGCATAGATTTATTTTTTAGTTTTGTTATTCCATCTCACTAGTACTACTTAGATGTACTCTTAGAGATATTTGGAGATAAAATATATATTTTATAAGATATACAGCGTTTTATTGTTTGGCTTTTTGGTAAGTTAATGAATAGTTAACCAAAATAGAAAATACTATTTTATCAATTATTAAACCTTCAGATTCATTGAAATTAACTATATTCCTAAAAAATCATGCTAGTGCCTTTCTTAATTGAATTTAAAAACTTCTATCAAACAAATTCAACTGGTCTTACCTTTACATCTTCTGGAGCTGGCAGAAGTTCAGGGTCCTAGAGCAAAAGAAAATGAGTTCTGAGTTATTTTGATAAGTCAAAAACCTTCCTTTATAGTAACTGAAGAATATGACTTAAATTTTGTTGTGACAAGTGCAGCCTTACCAAGTCATCCACATAACTTTTCAGCTGATCCACAGTATCAATAAGGTGACGCAGTCTGATCAAGAGGAGATCTTGCCCTTGGTGGCTGGATCTACGGGCCACCACCCCTGAGAAGATGACCGTCAGGCAGAAGACTACCCACTGCATGTTGCCAGGACTGGGTCTCAGAAGTGCCAGGAGGGCAAGACCTGGGTCTCAGTTTTCACCTCCGTTTGACTGTGAACAGGTTGTCAGTGGAGCTGCGTATTTATTCATCCTTCAGGGAGAGCTAACGCCCTCCCATCGCAACCTGGAAATCTTTGTAAAGTGGATGAGTGTGAGTAACCCTTTTTCTTTTCCACTGGCTAGGTGTGCGTGTGCATGTGTGAACACGTGGGGGCAGGGATGGACGGACTCCACGAATATGCTCCATCTGCACCTCAGACAGGAAAAGAGAGATGGGTGAATTCCAACTTTCAGCACGAGTTGAAAAGTGTGCATGGTAAACAGTAGGTGCTACCAAACATGAAAGGAGTAAACAAAAACACTTTGATCTCTCTCTCTGCCTCCCCTGGCCTCTTACCTGGTCTCTCTACAGTCATAAGGGCACTTTGGTAATGACTAAGGTGGCTGCCCGTGGAAAGCAGGACTTTTTCTTAGGGTAATAACTATGCGTCTTGACTGAAATCACACAGTATTCCATCATAAAGGTAGGAGGAGAGCTACCTTTAGGAAATTTTAAATATCGGGGGTATTTTCCAAATTAGCAAGAGTACTTCAGGGTTTTGTTTTTTTTTTTTTAATCAGGTAAAAGGATTTAAAGTAGAATTTGCTTCCAACTTTTTTCCAAAGCATCTTCTAATAGTATTTATCTCGGCTTCTGGCATTTAATCTGATTTATACATGGGATAAATGATTTTAAGGAACTGTACAGAAATTCAATCAAGATTTCACTCTAATTTTATTTTTTAAAACAGTCTCTCATGTTCATCTATTCTGTATAATTCTTCAGTTCAATGAATGAAAGTGCTAGTACTGTATCCCAACCAAGATTTGTTTTTACAAAAAGCAAAATTTAAAAATACCCCCAAGTGATTCTTTTTTCTCTTTGTGTGGTGCTACTTTTTTTCTGTTAGATATTATTTCCTCTGGCATGAACAGAACACTTCTAATATGACCAGCTAGCAGGGAATAAAAGACTCAAAGTCCAGGAGTGGTTTGGTCAGGCTCCTCACTGCTGCTCCTGTCCTTGCTACTCTTTGCACTGGAAGAGGTTAAGTAGAATATTATCACCAAAAGTAATGCCAGTCAGTTTGGTCTTAAAAACAAAACTGCTGACTCCAGACTTTATTCCTCTGTCTCATTTCATGCTCACAGCCATACTTTATTCTAGAATGTTATGCTGCCAAGATAAATTGGAGTTTGGACTTGGTTTATTTTTATCACAGGCTGTCTATTCAGGAGTGTTTGGGTTTGGTCATACAGAATAGATAAGACTTCATTCTGTATGAACAAGAAGGTCTCCAGTAACAATTACGTTCTATGGAAGAGGGTTTTGTGTAAACCTCTGAAATGCACAGGGATCACCGCTGGCACTTCCACGATGCCTTCATCGTCTCTACACATGCTTCCCTTATCTGGCAAAGAGATGTGTGTCTTCTTGAAGACCTAACCACAGTGGTTAGGAGCTCACCTTCTAAGTCAAAGTGCTAGAGTTCAAGCCCCAACCCTGACAGTTAATAGCACATATGACCCTGGGTATGTTCTTGCAAAAAGAAGATAAATGTAGAATCTAATCATAGGTGGTGGTGAGGCCTAAATGGACATTCCAAGTTCAAGGACTAAAGTACAGCCTGTGACCAGGTGCCAGGAGATGTGTGTGCTGGTCAGGGATGAGGGCTAGAGGATGACAGAAGCCTAGATTGGCAGGCCAGGACAGGCTGGTATTCAAGCGGAGCACACGGGTATGGCTGTACTGCCTGGAAAAGGTTTCCACTGCCTGGAGAGATAGATACTCCTCCCCACCCTGCAATGCCGCGGCACCGCCCGAGACACTCAGCCTGACACTCTCACTTCCCAGCATGTTGGGATTGCCAGGATCCTGCACAGTCCAGACCTTTCCAAGAATCAGACACGCTCTCTTAAGTGGCCTGTCAGTTGTTGAGGACCTGGAATATCATCAATGGCGTAGTGGCACTTAGAGGCGTCCTGGCCCTCTGACTCTTGTTACCTTCATGGTCACAGCTGGGATTAAATTGCAGACCCTGCGATGGGTTGTCCAGGTGGCCCCGTGTGATCAGAAGAGGGATGCAGGAAGATCAGAGTGACGCTGCCGCCGGGAAGCCGGGAAATGGAGCTCTCCCCGAGAAGAGTCCCTGCACCGGGAGTCAGTCTTGCCCACACCACGCTGTGAGCCCCAGAAATACCCACGTGGACTTCTGGCCTCCAGAACTACCAAAGAGTAAATTTGTGTAGTTTTAAATCACAGGTGTTGTGGTAATTTGTTACAGGCAATAGAACATAGTACCTCTAGGTATGAACTTTTTAACGCTTGGAAAAGGGTGGCGAGATAAGGAGGGATAAGGAGGACGTCTCCCTAGAGCTCAGCAGGCTTCACTCGGGACTGGCGGTATGCTTCAAAATGATGGAGCCCAACTTGCATTTTGCTTGCATTTATCACTGTGTTGAGATGGACCTTCGAGTGGAAAGAAGGGGGCTCGGGTTTATCTGAGTCGTATGTTCTTAGTAATATTAACCTTATTATTACATTCACAGCATCAACTCATTGGGGTCTTATTCACTTTTTACTTTTTAAATCACAATAATTTTATTATCTAGATTCAGTCAGTTCTGCCAAAATGCTTGTATTGAAGATGAGAATTTATTTAAACATGATCATGACCAGGGAAACGTTTGGGTACAACAAGAATTTTGCGTTTGCTTCTGCATAGTTTCTCTTGCAAGAAACTCGAGGTAAATGCAGAACCCGCATCCGGCTGACCCAGCATGAGGGTGCACCAAACACCCACACGCCTCAAACACCCACCGGCCTTGGGCTCCCCTGTCACCACGTGTGTGACGAGCCACAGCGGTCCCCATCTGGTAGCACGCGCTTCCCCCGGGGACCCTCACGTGCCATTTCCCGGTAGCTCACAAGCTGCAACCCTTCCAACACTCAGGTTTCTGAGCCAATTTCAGTCTTGTTCTAGATAAAGGGCCATATTTATTGTAGTTCTTATGTGTTGTTTAATCATTTGTTTTATAAAATAGCTGTCTTTCTGTTTTTTTTTTAGTAGGTTCTTATCATCTCTTCTCCCCTCCCCTACACCCCTCCCCTAGTATTATTTTTATGTGTGTTTGAGTGAGGGGCCTCAGTCCCATTTCCCCCATAAGCTCTGTGGTCATTATTGTGTACTTTTGTGCAGTGCAGTGATTGTTAGAAAAGTATGTCTCACGAGAGCAGAAGCCACTGATTTTTGTCTGGAAGTGGTCACAGGTTACATCCAGGTAAAGAACCCGTTACATCCAGGTAAAGAACAAGGCTAGGATAAAGGATTTATTCTTTTTTTAAAAAAAATTTTTTTTAAGGATTTATTCTTAAGGATGAACAGAAAAGGGTTTGATGGAGGAAGGGAGCAGGAATAAAAACCAAACTATTTCTTTCCTATTTTTACACCTGAGCTCAGATATTCCCAGCCCCTGTGCCCCGTGCTTCCTCAGCATGTGCACCTCTGTGCGAAGCCAGCAGCCCAGGCCGTTACAAGAGCCCCCAGGGCAGCTGCCTGAGGGAAGCACACTGCTCATGCCCGGCTCCCGTGTTACTTGGGCATCTTGGAGCCAGGTGGTGGGTCTGCTGTCGCATTCTTTCCTAGATTAGAACGCAGGTCATCACCATGAAAGCAGGACATTGTAGTTACCCGCTTCATGGACATATTTCGATCATTTTCTCTAATGGACTGTGCTATAGGCCAGCAGAAATGGGCCAGGGGACTGGAGGGCAGCCTGGAGAGCAGGGAGAGGAGCTGACATCCGAATGTCAATGTTGCTGCTTTGCAGTGTTTCATGGGGAGAGTCTGGCCAGCACTGAAACTGTGCTGGATACTAACTGTGCCAAACTCCTTTCCCTGACTTCACAGCTCTTCCGGGGACCCCTGCGTGTCATATATTTCATTTCTATTCTCACCCACTTTGGACCTCATGGGTAGAAATAGGTGCTCTGCATGCAAACTCTAGGAAGAGAGGCCTCCAGTGTCTAGAGTGATATTATGTTATTATAATATGTACCCCTCCTGGATACCAAAGGTATTTAGACAGGTGGCTTGTCTCTCTGTGATACTCACCATCAGGCTAGAGATTAAATGTTCTTTATTCCATGACCAACAGGCACAGGGGATGGAGGAAAAGAACGGGAAGATTCATAGTGTTCCACCAGGTTCCCCCAACCCCTTTCCCCGAGAGGGGACAGGCTCCACCCACCTCCCCCAGCCTCCTGTCCAGGATTAACCACCAAAGAAATCCTGTTCCCTCTGGACAGGCCCACACTTGGGCAATGGGTGGCTACAAACATCTTCAATCTTGGCCCTTGCAGCCCCCAGCCCTCGGTCATGAAAATAGGAGCAGCGGTAGCCATTGCTGTGTCTGCTTCCTGCGGTGTCTGCTGAGTTCCTCGCCCAGAGCAGCCTCTGCCTTCTCCCAGGCAGCAGCGCGATGGCAGGGAGTCCGCCCACCGGATGCGCCCCTCGTTCTGGACACTTCCTTCAGTTTCCAGGAATGAGGATCATTTGGAAAATTAATACTTTTCATTTTTATATTTATAAAAGTTATACACGTGTCATAAAACAAAGAATCAAAGCACATATTGCATAAAGTAAAAATAAAAAGTAATCCCTTTCCTCCCTATTTTCACTCCCTGGGGACACTCTTGAGAGTTTACTTTGTGTTATTCTAAACTCTTTTCCTATGTACATAGGACCATAAGGAGGAATATATGTAGACAGAGATGGAAGGAAATAGAATTATATAAGGAGATAAAGATGTATACAAAAAAGCCATATGAGAAATAATAGACATAGAAAAATGTAGGGTTTTTTACATAAAAATTAATCTTACTGTACATATTCTACAACTCTTCTTTTTCACTCAACAATATGTCAGGGACAGCAGTTCAC